AGCGGAGTCCAGCCCGGGGTCGTCACATGTGGTTGCCGCAAGCCCGCCGGCCACTCATTCGTCGAATCTGCCAGCCACGCCGTTCTCAAGCCCGCCGGCCTCCGCTCACTCAAGCGAAACTACTTTGTTTGGCCTTCCAAAAGAGGACACGACTAGAAATCAGTGGTTAAGTTGTATTTACAACAATGCAGACATGTTTTTATGTTTACGTGGCGCGATGCAACGTGTAAAAAGACAGTATAAGTCATTATAATCCGTAATTATGTCCCCACTGGATGCAACAAATGCCTCGTTTATAATGGGTTTTAATGTTTTGTCGCTCCGGCTGGACAGGACATCACAATATGGTAAGGGGCGTAACATTTCCGTCACACACTTGAGGTATTCGGCCAATCACAATGCACTGGATAGCTGGCCAATCAGAGCACACCTCGCTTTTCAGACCGATGAGCTTTGTAAAAATCGACGCGTTTCAGAAAGGCGGGGCATAGAGGAGAAACAATAATGTACAGTATGTGGAAAATAATGTGTTTTTTGAACCTTAAACCGCATAAACACATTTCATTACACCAAATACACAAAATAATGTTCTTTTTAGCAACATCATATGACCCCTTTAAGATATTTTTGATGAAATCTGAGGGCTCTCTGACCCTCCCATAGACAGCAAGGTAACTACCACGTTCAAGGTACAGAAAAGTACCAAGATGATCGACAAATAGTCCGTGTGTTCAGTGGTTCAACTGTAAAGTTACGAAGCTACGAGAATACTTTTTTTGCGCAAAGAAAACAAAATGACTTTATTCCACATTTTCGTCTCTACTGCGTCACTTTGGACGCGTGTTCACGACAGTACCACGACGCGAGCATGATACTGTTGTGAACGCGCGTCCACAAGTTTTTCAAGACTTCATCAAAAATAACTTAAATTGTGTTCCGAAGATGAACGAAGGTCTTACGGGTTTCTAACAGCACAAGGGTGAGTAATTAATAAAAATTTTCATTTTTGGGTGAACTAACCCTTTAAGTAAGTATGAATATGAAGTCCTGTTTGTAACCTATTAAATGTGACATATTTTAGCAGAATACCTAAAAAAAAAAAAAAAAAAAAAAAGGGGGGCAAACCTTA